TAGGTTAGGAAATTCCAAGTTACTACCAAAAAGTTTCCTGACCCCATGGCCGATCTGTTTTGTACGAACTGGGTTACTTTGTTTTGTGTAGATTTTAATAAAATGGGTCTAGCTATGGACCTAAAATTTGTTTTAAAAAAAAAGAAGAGAGAGATTAAAAAAAAACTATGGTCCCCTATAAAAGTTTTTATTCATGAGTCATTTTGTCAATACATAAACACACAAAAATATGGTAAATAATTATAGGTACTTGATATTGAAACATTGTTCCTAATTATTATGTCTTTCAACTGTGCATGCATTTACATATTGTTACTCTCTTTATTTCTATTTATATGTTACTATTTTAGATTATTTGCTAACGTAACGACCCTAATTCCCTTTTGAAATTTGTGTCTACTACTTGAAAACAATGAGAATTCTCATTCTACAGGCTGTAGGGACTTCTACAGGCCGTATATTGGACCAGTAGAATGACTTTTGAGCCTGAAATTTAGTATTATGTCTACTGATTGGTCTACGGTCCGTAGAATCTTCTACGTGTCGTAGATTGGACCCGTATAATGAAATTTTGAGCCTTAAAATTTAATATAAATTCTACGGATCATGAGATCTACGGTCCGTAGATCAAATCACGAACCGCAGATAGTCCCGTGGATAGTTTTCGTCAGCTTTTAAAGAGGGATAGTTCAGTCTTTTTCCACCCCTTCTAAGCCTAAACTCTGACCTTTTTACACCTAGTTAAGGCTTTATATAGTGTTAATCAGTTCTTTTACGTCCATTAACACTTCAGTCATTAGAGTAAGGTTCCAAGAGGAGAAAAAACTAGGTTTTCAAGCGCTATTCGAGATTTCACCGATTTTGCCAAGAACTTTGTTCATCCAGGTATGAAAGGCTAATCATAGTGATGATTGAGTTTGTCCTTACTCCCTACATCTACTTTCTATCCGTAAGAGTTAATCTAGGGTTACATCTTTTATTTTGATAATTCTTGAGATGAGTTGTTGAATTTTGAGTTTCTATTATCAAATTTTGAGTTGCTATATACTATGCATTGAGATTCTTGAGTTGATTGTTCATGACTATCATTCATCATGAACCCTAGTATTTGAGTCTTCAAGGAGTTATTATTGAGAATCATTTTAACCAAATAATTGTCTTAAACTGATTTTCTGAGAAAGTAAAGAAGTGTTTTGAGTAGAGTATAAAGAGAGATTTTAGTACAATTTTAAGGGAACTAATTGATTCCCAAATGTATTACTTTTACTTTTACAAAGAGAAGTTTGTTTTTCATAAAGAGTTTTCAGAGATATGTAAGAAAAGTTACCTCTTTTAAGAGGATAATTTGAGCAATTAGCTCAATTTGAGAAAGAGTATGTTTTATACATTTGAGCATGGGTATGTATATTTGTTGGGAGTAGTATTGAGTATCGATATGTGGATAAGTTCAGAAAATTCAAAATCCTCATAAACCACGTATCCAACATGGGTAAAGGATCGTACTTTTTAGACGACTCCTTATTGCTTTAGAGCAGTGCTTTAGTGGATCCACTTAGTTGAGGTGTCCTATATCCCAACAAAATATAGGACAATTTTGACAGCGTGGGTGAGACGTTGTATCATCACGTAACTCATAGTGATGGTTGTCGGTTAGAGAATCTCCCAAATAAGAGTAAAGAGTATTTTATTGTATTTTTCATATACATCCTTGAGTTAAAATATTTTATTTATGAAGCTTTAAATACTATCATCTCTTGTTATTGTTTTGTATTGAGTTGAGTTCAGGTAAGTATTCTTTTAGCCTTATCAGTTCAGTTATTTATCCATTCAACTATACTATATACACGTACATTCAATGTATTGATGTCATTCGACCTGCATCTTTTATGATGCAGATATAGGTGTTCAGGATCATCAAAATGCATTTCGTTGAGCTTACTTTCCACTTTAGATAGCTTGAGTAAGCCTCCTTGCATTACGGAGGACTTCACATTTATTTTATAGTCAGTGTTCTTGAGATGTCGTGTGTCTTGTCCCGACACCATCTTGAATAATAGAGGCTTCATAGATAGATAGAGTTGAGGAGTCTCCCAGGATTTACTTTTCCTTGATATGTTGTGCAAACTATTATACATATATTATTAAGTATTTACCAGACAGTTTGAGTTGAGTAATTACTTTGAGTTTAAATGTTCTAAATTTTGTTTTTAAGCCTATTGTCGCTTGAGTAAGTCTTCCGCTAAGTAGTCAGCCAGGCCAATGGTTCTCTTGGGGACTAGCAATGGTTCTCGAGTGCCGGCCACGTCTAGGTTGTAGGCTCGGGGTGTGTTGTGGACTTGAATTGCTTGAATTGTTGTCTCTTTCTTATAGTGTGAAATTGCTTATTTGCATTGATTATTGTGCACCGTGATGAGACATGTGAAATTATGCCAAAGAAAAATGGTTCCAACAAGTGATATGATATTATGCCGAAGGGAAATGGATCCAACAAGTGATGTGATATAAAGTCGAAGGGAAATGATTCTTGCTAAGGATATGATTAAAAGTCGAAGGAAAATGGTTTCATCTCATGATGTGATATAAAGCTGAAGGGAAATGGTTTTGCCTAGTGATATTGTGCCGAAGGAAAATGGTTTCAGCAAACGATACTATATAGAGCCGATGAGAAATAGTTCCGGCTAGTGACATTGTACCGAAGAAAAATGGTTCCGACAAGTGTTTGATTATTGTGATTTGATGAACTTGATACTTGACATTGATATATTTGATGCTTGTGATTGATCAACTTGATACATGTGATTGATACATTCGATACTTGTGGTTGATATCATTGATACTTGTTGGTTGGCGAAATATGACCATTGGACTATGATTGTTAAGCCTTGTGAACTGTGTATTGTGAAACTATTAGGTTGAGTTGATATTTATGTAGGTTTTAAATTGAGGAGGTTCAGGTTGGATGAAAGAAGTACTCGTATTCTAGCTAGTTTTGCCTTGTTCAATAGGTTACTTGCTGAGAACCGTGTTGGTTGGTACTCACTCCTTGCTTCTACACTTGTGTAGGTTCCGAGCCCGGTTCTGTGTAATTTCTCTTCGTCTATGTCCAAGGTTTTTAGAAGACTTTTAGAGGTAGCTGCTTGTCATTCTAACGGGGCGTCTTGTTCCTTATTTTATTCTCTGTTCTATTTGAGAAACAAAGACACAGAGACATGTAATTATCTTTCAATTCCGCACTTTATACATTAGTGTCTTGTACACGTGACAATTAGGTTTTGAGTTTATATTAGACTGAATAAGTTTTCCGCTCTTATGTTATTCTTGTTTTACTTTCCGCATTTCTTTTGTGCTATTGGATTTTGAGACCGACTTGTCTTGGTGGAAATAGACAAGTATCATCACGTCCGCTTTTAGGTCGTGACAACGTACTCTTTATGTTATATTTTTTGCTCATCGAGATTCAATTGTATTATTTTCTTCGCTCCAAAATAAATGCTATTTAAATAAAAATCACGTTTATTAAAATATTAATAAATACAATGTGTAGTTTACTACTTTTGGCCTCTAGCCTTTTTTTCAATATTCAGAAGTATTATATAATGCAATTCCTGTCATGTCAATATAATGAAAAGTTATTCTTTAAAATGTAAATTAAAACATAATCTGAATCTTGAAAATATCACTACAGAAAGCGTATGCGATATCTTACATGACTACATAAGTATATATATATATATATATATATATATATATATAATATTTTATCTAATGAAGAATTGTCATAAGAAATATTTAAAAGGAATTAAGTAAGGAGAGTACATTTAATTAAGCCAAACTTATTTATTCCATTACATAAATATAAGAATACATGAAGACATTCTAATCAACATGAACCCTAATTATTTTTGACATGTGGCTGCTTACTTCAATAATCCATTAATTAACCAACCACAGGAATTTGTACAACAGAACCCAAGATGTTATCAACAAGACGAACTCGATTACAACGATAATCCAATGGGACTGGAGAACCACTCAATATTATTCGAACATCATTTATGAGTGAATTTTCATTCTCAATTATTTCCTTAGCAAGCTTTGTTGGTACACCAATAAGTTCTGGCCAGAATAGTTTTCCTACATATATATACACATAATTAATTAATTACAATGAGAGAAACAAAGAACAAGAATAATATACTCTATGTGTTATAATAATAGCAAACATGGAGTTGATATTCAAGTGTGTAACCAAGTAAACTGCTTGCTCTGATACCATATTAAAATGTGTAATCATTTTATCTAAAAGTTTAAACTGTTAGATAGGGCACCAAGACTCTATTAAAAAAACAAGCATTTTTAATAGTAGCAAAAATTGTTTTTTTGAAAAGCTAAAAAAAAAGTAATCCTTTAAAGGAATTTTACCTTTGCACCAAGATTCAGATTCCGATTCCTTTAGAAGTTTTATGACTTCCGGCCCATCACTTTCTTTTCGTGCCATGAGAGTTTCAAAGGCTGCAAAAAAAAAACATTTCAATTGCAATTAATGAGAATATATACATTCAACTAAATGTTATTCTTTATATTTTAACATGGTATAATTATAGTGAACCCCTTAGTAATATTTTAGCTCATTAATCTATTTTTTTATGAATGATTGTTTATAGTTGTCTTTTAAGTATCACGCTAATAGTGTAACAATTCTTCTACGTTATTATTTATAGTGTATTTCTCATTTCAAGTTAGATCGTCAAAAAAATATGATATGCTTAAAAACCTCTGGCACAAGCAAGGGTAGAAGGAGATTCATCTGAACTGTGGCGGAGCTAATATTTTCTCTAATAGAGTCTCTCTATATATATACCTCAAAAGAAATATAAATAATTTACAACTCTAATAATATTCTTGCATGTGTGTATATATAATAAAATATATACAGAGAAAGTAAGGTACTAACAAGTTGCAAGAAGAAAGAAAACAATGATGTGAGCAAACTTTGACTCCATTTTCTTTTAGTTGTAAAGAGTAGAAGGAATTGAGTGAATTTGTAAGAGTGCATCACACAAATTTATAGGCAGAGGTTGCCTTCATTGTAGTGAGGTACTCCGTACTAGTGGTGTCTAACAACCACATGTTGAACAATTTGAAGATAAGGAAAAAAAATATTATGTTTTGATATATTTTTAATTACATTCGAAAAGTGAGGAGGGACCGTGAAAATTGAATTCAGGTATAGTGTGTAGGGGACACATCACACACACTGATACCACTATATATATATATATATATATATAGTTAGTTAGTTATATATATATATAGTTATATAGGTTTTTTTTTATTATTATTTTATAGGAGATTGTTACAAAATAATATAGAAGATCTATAAATATATAAATACATGTTGGACTTGTAAGCTCACTTTTTTAAGAAAATTAAAATTGTAAGTGGATTTAGGAGATCATTTTCCTCCATAGAAATTGAAAATATAAAGATTGTTTTAATTATTTTGTTTTAAAAGGGGAATAATTTTATGAACTTTTGGATTTAAATGAAGGATTATCCATTTAAAGTAGTTCGAAATTTTAAAAGAGATACTTCTTTTATTAAAATATTAATAAAATTGCCTCAAAATATAGGGGGAAACAAAAGAAACTTAATTAATTTATTGGTAATTTGACTTATTTATTTTATCACAAGGCTAGCTAGACTTTGTATTCTTCTTAATTGCGTATCATTATTTTTGTTTACGTTTTTTAGTTTCTTATTCATATTTTGATTAATGTATACGAAAACTTTATATACTTCTTTGGAGTTCAATCATATATATAAAATTATATCCAAGGCTCAAACTCAAAATTTTTGTCAATATTTCTAAAATTTTATATACTTCTTTCTCAATACATTTGGCATATATACACTGCATTAGCCAAGAAAGAAAAGAATAATGACAAGGAAAATAAGTGATGGTATATTTTCAAAATATTTAACTGAAAAAATTAAAAGGTATTTTTTATCTAGTAAATAGTGGGGAAATTTCAGAAAATGACATGGCACGTTTTATCTATGCTTTCAAAGTCCTTCTCAATGCATTAATTAGCTATAGTGACAAGGAAAAAACAATATAAAACGAAATTTAAAAAGATTTACTAGCAAAAATAGAGATGCTATGGTCCCTAGGTATTATATGTTTTTATTCATGAATCATTTTGTAAGTCATAGAAACAGATTTAGGAGTTAAATGTTATAATTCTAAATTTTACGATAACGAATTCAAATAATATTACATGAGTTCCAAAATTTAATTTTAACATATATATTTAATGAATTTTGAAACAAATATAAAATTTATGATAAATCTATTGAATTTTATTTTGGGTAAAAATATAAATAAAATCAGGTAAATTACTGAGACAAAACCACGTGTCCATCTGTTAGTTTTAAGGGTATACACGACTCAAAATTAACAATAAGAGTATATACAAACCTCAAAGTATAATGGAGGATTTTCACATATTATTTATGGTAGTTCGAAGATATATTTATCATTTTTCATTAAAAATATAATAAACAAAATCATTCTTATTCTTTTTACATCACTAATAGTTCTCATAGTTTATCGAGTTGGTGCTTGAAAAAAAAAAAAGGAGAAAAAGAAAGGGATATTTTTTTATAAAAAATAAAAACTATGGTCCCCTATAAAATGTTTCTATTCATTAGTCATTTTATGAGTATATAGACCATACAAAAATGTGGTTTATAATTATAGATACTTGATATTGATATATTGTTTCTAATTATTATTATACCTTTCAACCATGCACGCATTTATACGCACTCTTTATGTCTACAATTTTCGCTCATCAATATTCAATTATATTATTTTTTTTGCTCCAAAATAAGTGTTATTTAAGTAAAAATCTGTAATGATCCGGACCCGAAATGTCTTTCTTTTTATAATTTTGAATAGTCATTTAACTATAGTTAATTAATTTGCTGGTAATTTATTTATTATTAATAATAATGGGCCAAGTCTGAAATATTTAAATAGATTAGTAGGAATTATTACTTTTAATACATAATTAAATTTTTTTTTAAAAAGAAAAGAAAGAGGTGGAAGAAAACTGACCTAAACGTGTGACTAAAAACAAGAAGCTGAAAAAAAAAGGGGGAATACTCTGGCACCGTCGCATAGGAGCAATACCTTGAGGTAATCATTTTCAAATTGATATATGTTGTAGATGATTAGCTAATTCCTAATTAACGGAGGGTCATAGTAGTATTTTTTATTATTATTATTATTGTAGGGATAAAGTGTAGCATCAATGTTGAATTCAAATCATATATGATGTTCGTGATTTAAGAAAAATAATTTGCAGGGTTATAAGTGATTGAATAATGATTAGTTAATAATTATATAGTGATTACGTGATATGTTATTAGTTAGCTTTGGAGAAGTTAATGTTAATGCATCCTTTGGCAGTATGCCAATTTCAGTGGAATATCAATATGGCGTCAATGATCAATAGTTTTGGAGTAATTGTTGGACGGTGAGTGCAACTAATCATTGGTAATCCTTGGTCAAACTAAAGTGATTACAGGAAAGGTGTATGGGTGTAAATTCTACGTAGTTGTTACTATTTGATGGGTTAAGTTCATCGTAGAAATATATTTTATAGGTATGATCTAGTTCTCGATTTTTATAGATGGGGTGAATGTAATTGAATAATAGGGGTACTGTTGTATAATATGAATACCATTAGATTTATGATATTTGGAGGAAATTAGACTTAACCATAGGCTTGAAACTTAAGAACTTGATTTGAGGTTTGGGGTGAGTTTTTGGGTCTAGGCTAAACCTATGGTAATATGGGTGTTGTTAGTTTTGAAATCTTATTGTTATTATGTACTTGAATAGATTGCATTGATTTGGAAGCTCAGTGAAAAGGGAAGGCTCAAGTCTCGGAGTGATTGTTCGGTTATTTGAGGCAAGTGGATTTCTAAACCCTTGTTAAGTGTATGGAATTCATGTATTTCCTTCTAATATGTGTTTAGGGTAATGATGCTTGGTGATAGGTTGACTTGTCCACATTGATTAATTCTAATGATGAGAAAGGGATAATAAAAGGCAATGTGATCAATTGTTTGTGTGATGTGTTGAGAATTGTTTGAAAGGCTTGTTGAATCATTGTTGATGTTGTATCCTGATTGTGTTGTTGTGAATTGTGCAATGTTATGAAAATGGTCATCTCTTCATTATTTGTGTGAACATGTCATTTGCATTGTTCTGAGACATGGTTGTGACAAGTGTTATATGCATTGAGAAAGAATAAGAAAATAAAGAGGATGTACCATTTCGAGGGACGTATCGCGTGCCGCGGTGGATACTATATTTCGAGGGACGTGTCGCGCGCCGCAACGAATACTATATTTTGAGGGACGTATCGCGCGCCGCGATGGTTACTATTATCGAGGGTCGTATCGCGCGCCGCGATGAATGCATGGACAGATATGTCCCCCATGGGTCCCGGACTGAGAGACAGCGGGTGTGTATCACTAGGTCAGACATGCATCACTATACTTGACATTGCATTTCATTGCATTGCACTTCTTTATTATTGGTGAACTTAATCTTGTATGTTGCTGATCTTATGAGTGACTTTCTATGGAACTTGTGACTGATGAATATTGAGCTTATTGTTGAAGATATGCAATTGTTAGAGTGTTGTTGTTGAGGATATGAAACTATTGTTGTTGTTGAGGATATGCAATTGTTAGAGTGTTGTGTTGAGCTATGTGCTTTGTAAATTGTGAATTGTTAGGTTGGGTTGGTTTTATACATATTGTAGTTGTGAAGGTTCGGTTGGGGTGTAAGGAGTAATTGTATTCTATCCCCTTAGCTCGTGTTTAGAGGTTTACTTGCTGAGTACCGTGTGGTTTGGTACTCACCCCTTGCTTCTACAAATTTTTGTAGGTTACGAGCCTGGATTTTTGTGGTACTTGTTATTCTCTTCTTTTTCGAGGCTTCTGGGAGATTTGTGAGGTAGTTGTTTGTCTTCTCAATGATCCTTCTTACTCCTGTTTATGATCTTGTTCTACTCTAGAAACAATGTCATATGAGACTTGTATTTTTCTTTTGATTCAATTGTAATACTTTAGAGGCTTGTACACGTGACAACCAGATTTTGGGGGTATTTTTGAGTTGATTATAAAATTTCCGCATTTTATTGTAATGATTGAGTTTTAGGCTGACTTGTCTTGGTGGAATAAGACGAGTGTCATCACATCCATTTTCGGGTCGTGACAAAATCATGTTTATTAAATAATTAATAAATATAATATATAGTTTATTACTTCCTTTAGCCTTATTTTTAAAAAAAAATAAAAATGTATTATATAATGCAATTCTTTTCATGTCAATATGATAAATGAATATTTTTTAAAATGTAAGTTAAAATTCGCATAATTTGAATCTCAAATAGCTAAATATCACTTGAGACGCGGTGCGTATTTGATACCAAAAAGTAAAATTGCTATGGTCCCCTAATGACATGTTCTTATTTATGAGTAATTCTGTCAGTATATAAAACACATAAAAAAATGTGTTATAATTGTTTGTATTTTTTTATATTAATATATTGCTCCTAATTATTCTGCTTTTCAATTTATTAAGTTGTGTGTGAATCCAATATATCATGCATTTACTCTTTAGATATCTCTGATATTTTTTATGTAATTGACAAACATGTTTCTTCTTTTGTATTTTTATAAGAAATTAATAAGAGGAATTTTTTTTAAAAAAAAAAAGAAGAATAAGAGGAATTTGGAAAAAATATTTTTATGTATACAAGGACTAGAATAGAACAACCCTCAAAACTTAAGATTACCATTTGACTGAAAATCATATAGTATTCAGATCTTATGAATTGTATTCGAGATATTTTGATATTAAAAGCGAATCTTTGTAAACTTTGTAAGGAAATAAAAAGAGGATCAAATATATCTCCATTTTATGTAGAGTAATTTTATCTTTCATTTGAAAAAATTTCGACTCATAACTCTATTCTTAGTCAAATGGTTCAA